AATTAGCTGGGCATGGTGGTGCATGCCTGTAGTTCCAGCTACTCGGAAAGCTGAGACACAAAAATTTGTTTGAACCCAGGAGGCAGAGGCTGCAGTGAGCTGAGGTGCACCACTGCCCTCCAGCCTGGGTGACAGAGTGAGACTCTGCCTAAAAACAACACCACCAACAACAAAACTTTCCCAAGTTCACAAAGATTAGAGAGAGACCTGGAGTTTTACTCCAGCCCTTCTGACTTCAGAGCCTGGACTCTCAACCATTTCTCTAGCTGAGTGTGACTTGTCTGCCTTTCTCTCCAGTATTGTGATGTTTCTTTTTTTTTTAGGAATGGAGGTTCATCTCCTGGGTCTATAGCCAGAGACCCAAAGTGAGAGCCATGTTTCTTGATTCAACCTTGGAAACCTTCTATGATAATTTTTAAAAATTACTAAACATTTATTGAGCACCTACAATATTTTAGTACCTTCGATACCATGATTCCAGACCTTATGATAACAGTGTAACACAAATACCTATGTGTATGGATGGTTTTTAATCTTTTTGGGCTCACAGCCTTTTGTGAGACACTAGTGACAGCTTTGCATCTTCTTTCTAGAAAAATTCACTTATGCACATTTACATAGTATTGTACACAACTTAAGAAGAGGCTTCTAGGACCTACTGAAGCCCATCCTCTAGTAGGCCACAGACTCCAGGGTAAGAACACGACTTATACAACCTTTTGCAGCTGATTTTTTTTTTTTTTGAGACCGAGTTTCGCTCTCGTTACCCAGGCTGGAGTGCAATGGCACAACCTCGGCTCACCGCAACCTCCGCCTCCTGGGTTCAGGCAATTCTCCTGCCTCAGCCTCCTGAGTAGCTGGGATTACAGGCACGTGCCACCATGCCCAGCTGATTTTTTGTATTTTTAGTAGAGACGGGGTTTCACCGTGTTGACCAGGATGGTCTCGATCTCTTGACCTTGTGATCCGCCCACCTCGGCCTCCCAAAGTACTGGGATTACAGGCGTGAGCCACCGCGCCCGGCCTTGCAGCTGATTTTTTTATGGCATTAAGGGTACAGAGAGTGTGGGGGGCATCTTATCCTCCTCACCTTCTCCTCATAGAGAAATGTTTAGAAAGCATTAGCTTCCTACATTAACCAAGTATCTCTGAATATTCTTTCTTTCTTGTACATAGGACTGCAAGGGAAGAATGCAGCCAATCAAATGTGTGGTTGTAGGAGGTGGGGCTATAGGTAAAACCTGCCTCCTCATCAGTTATACAACAAATGCATTTCCTGAGGAGTATATCCCCACTGTCTATGACAACTATAGCGCCCAGACATCTGTGGACGGCCAAATCGTCAGCCTGAACGTGTGGGACACTGCTGACCAAGATGAGTATGACTGACCACAAACGCTCTCCTGCCCCTAGACCAGTATCTTTGTTATTTGTTTTTCCATTGGCAAACCATCCTCTTATGCCAATGTGAGGCATAAATGGCACCCAGAGGTCTCCCATCATTGCCTCAATGTACCTGATCTACTGGTAGGCACCAAGAGGGACCTGCCAAGTGACCTTGAGACAGTGAAGAAGCAGAGCCTAGTGCCCACGACTCCTCAGCAAGGCACTTCCCTGGCTAAGCAGGTGGGGGCTGTGAAGTGACCTTGAGACAGTGAAGAAGCAGAGCCTAGTGCCCACGACTCCTCAGCAAGGCACTTCCCTGGCTAAGCAGGTGGGGGCTGTGAAGTATCTGGAATGTTTGGCCCTGATGCAGGATGGGGTGCAAGAGGTATTTTTGAAGCTGGCCAGGCTATGCTTTACTCTGCTGCAAAGAAGAACACCAAGAAGTGCATTCTCTCATAGCTTCTGGGTGCCACTTGGGGACTGCACCTAAGAAGTATAAGGGCAATATTCCTTTGTCAGCAGTTAAGAGTGCCAGCATGAGCCATTTGTCTCTTTTAGAAACCCTAGACTGCAGGATATTCAGCTTTTGGAGCAATGAGGACAGACTTGTTTGTACATGGCTGCTTTGAAGTGTCGTCTGAACTTTTGGAAGAAGCGGGGGGGGGGTGTGCATGTGTGTGTCCCCTGTCAAAATGGTAAAAGGAGGTGCCACCCAGTGCTGTTCTTTTCTCTCCTGGCCAGGACATGACTAAGCAGAGCAGCTTAGGACTGTTCATTGTAGACTTTTGCATGTTTGCTTTTAAATCTAATTGCAGCTTTCCTTGCTGTATTTACCACTAAGCAAGTGCCTCCCGGAAGGACAAGGTTATCTAGTTTTTATTCATTATTATTATTGTTGTTATTATCATTTTTCGAGATGGAGTTTCTTTCTTGTCGCCCAGGCTGCAGTTCAATGGCAATGATCTTGGCTCACTGCAACCATAATCTTGGCTCACTGCAACCTCCGCCTGCCGCGTTCAAGCGATTCTCCTGCCTCAGACTCCCGAGTAGCTGGGATTACAGGCGCACAGCCAATGGGATTATTTTTAGCAGAGACGGAGTTTCACCATGTTGGCCAGGCTGGTCTCAAACTCCTGACCTCAGGTGATCCACCGACCTCAGCCTCCCAAAGTGCTGGAATTACAGGTGTGAGCCACCGCTCCTGGCCATTTTTATTATTTTTTTGAGACAGAATCTCACTCTATCACCCAGGCTGGAGTGCAGTTGCGCGATCTTGGCTCACTGCAACCTCTACCTCCTAAATTTCAAGCGATTCTCCTGCCTCAGCTGGGACTACAGGCATGCACCACCATACCTGGCTAACTTCTGTATTTTTAGTAGAGACAGGGTCTTACCATGTTGTCTAAGCTGGTCTCAAACTTCTGACTTCAGGTGATCCACCTGCGTCGGCCTCCCAAAGTGCTGGGATTTACAGTTGTGAGCCACTGCGCCTGGCTGGTTATCCAGTTTTTAAATCATTGCCTTCAACTTTGTCGTATGTGAATTTTTTTTTTTGGTTGTTGAGACAGGATCTCACTTTGTCATCCATGGAGGCTGGACTGCAGTGGCATAAACATGACTCACTGCTGTCTTGACCTCCCAGCCTCAAGGGATCCTCTTGCCTCAGCCCCCCAAGTAGCTGGGGCCACGAGTGCGTGTCACCATGTCTGGTTAATTTTTGTATTTTTGTAGAGATGATGTTTCACCACGTTGCCTAGGCTGGTCTTGAAATCCTGAGCTCAAGTGATCCTCCCATCTTGGCCTCCCAAAGTGCTGGGATTACAGGTGTGAGCTACAGTGCCTAGCTGACTAATTTTTGAAAACCATATTATGTGTGATTCCTGGGTGTTCTCAATGTTGACATGTTTCTCCCATTCTTGAGATGAGACATTTTCACAAAAATGGTTTAGAAGCATTTACTAAAGTTCTGTGAGATGGTAACAGATGTTCCTTAAAAGAATTCTGTCAGAAAAACAGAACTCTGGAAGGATATCAGATATTGAAGATTAACTCAATGAAATTAAAAAAAAAGAACAGAACTCTGTTCTTTCTACTGAGGTTTTTTTTTAAAAAAAGGAAAAAACGGTTCTGTCATCAAATAAACTCAAGAACCAACAATTTGCCGGGTACAGTGGCTCATCCCTATAGTCCCTGCACTTCAGGATGCCGAAGTGGGTGGATGGCTTGAGCTCAGGAGTTTGAGACCAACCTGGGCAACATGACGAAACTGTTTCTACAAAACATGTGAATATTAGCGGGGTGTGGTGGTGTGTGCCTGTAGTCCCAGCTACTTGGAGGGCTGAGGTGAGAGGATCACTTGAGCCCAGGAGGTCGAGGCTGCTGTGAGCTGGGTTTGTACCACTACTCCAGCCTGGGTGACAAAGTGAGACTCTGTCTCGAAAATAAACAAATAAATAAGCTAAAAACTAAATAAATAAAACTGAACAGGTTCTTTAATGGCAAGATTTTATAACTTAATAGGACGTATGTAAGATTTCTCAAACTTATTTCACCGTGCAGTGGCACGATCTCAGCTCAGTGAATTTTTTTTGGTCACATGCAGCACCTATTAATATGTCTGGTGACACCATTTGAAAGAAGCTGGGTTAATGGGACCCGGGAATTCCCAAGGAGGACGCTGTAAAACTAGAAAGCACAATGTAGTTTTGCTCTTTTTGATGTTTTCCTCTTCATGCCTTTGAGACAAATGTTTGTCAGCATGCGCTTGTTATTTGTTTCTCTGCTTCAGGAGATGGGTCTGGCATGTAGTCATGACAGTGCTTTGGAGGTGGGATCTGACAGTGAGATCTGTTATCACATTCTGATAGCACTATGGGCCTTGTGATGTGGAATTACCAATCCCTCCAAAAAAAAAAAAACTTGTGTCTGAGTCTTGCGTGTTGCTTCTCTGTCGCTTTCAGCTTTAAGGACAGACCACTCAAGGTTAACCCCCAACCGAGTGCAGTGGCTCACTTCTGTAATCCCAACTACTCACAAGGCTGAGGCAGGAGGATTGCTTGAGGCCAGGAGTTCCAGACCAGCCTGGGCAACATAGGGAGACCCCCATCTCTATTAAACATTAAAAGAAAAAGGAGAAAAAAAGAAAAAAGTTAACCCCTTAAATAAAACAAACAAAAAACTGTCCTGCCAGTAATTGTCAGAGTTCTGAGCCTTTTCTGAGACTTTTCTTCTGCCCTTATGTCTGGGCTTAGCTGTTCTGAGTCTACACAGGCTGCCTTGCTTGCTTCCCGTCCTTCCCTGATTGGAACATCTTCCTGTTTATTTAGCTCTGTGTGCCTTTTGAGGTCTTTTAGTTGCTCCCAGAGGGCTTTAGCATGTTGGATCCATATCTTTTTTTTTTTTGAGACGGAGTGTCACTTTGTCACCCAGGCTGGGAGTGCAGTGGCACGATCTCGGCTCATTGCAACTTCCACCTCCTGGGCTCAAGCGATTCTCCTGCCTCAGCCTCCTGAGTAGCCGGGATTACAGGCGCCCACCACCACTCCCAGCTAATTTTTGTAGTTTTGGTAGAGACCTCGTTTCACCAAGTTGTCCAAGCTGGTCTTGAACTCCTGACCTCTGGTGATCCGCTCACCTCGGCCTCCCAAAATGCTGGGATTACAGATGTGAGCCACCACTGCAGGCTTGGATCCTATCTCTAGCCACTGAGGCCATTCCCCTTGTGGTTATAAAGGAGTTCAGGTTTTGCTGGAGTTGCTCAGCTCGCCCCCGGGCAACCAGAATCAGACTTCCTGTCCTAGTGGGCCTGCTCTTCCCTGCTTGTATTTTTGACCCTTTTCATTTGATCTGGAAGGAAAACTTACTTCTTTACCTGGTGCGCAGTGCTTGATAACTCCACTGTGCATACATGCTTCCTGCCAAATAGCATTGGGGTTTTGAGAGTTTGGGAGATGAAGCTAAAGGATTACGTGGTCCCTAACCCCTGCAGTGGGTAAAGTGTCTGTGTTTTGTTCCGTGGTAGCCTCCCTGTTGCTCTTTGACAGGTTTAGTCAGAATAGTCTCCTGGATAGGGTTGACAGATAAAATACACAATGCCCTGTTAAACTTGAATTTCAAATGAACATAATTTTTTAGAATTTTTTTTATCCCCAGACTCTGTATTATCTTTCAATAGAAAAAAAATTTTAGTATATATACCATGCAATATTTGGAACATACACTAAAACATTATTGTTTATCTGAAATTCTAATTTAATGGGCCATTTTGTGTTTTTATTTGATAAATCTGTCAAGCCTACTCTTGGAGAATCTAGAACCTGAAAGTCAAGCAGGTATCAAGTATTGATAGAAGATAAAAGGTTACATAAGCTTCCTGTACTCCTTCCTTTTCTTCTGCTTTCCCTTTTCCCTTATCATGGGCTAAAGTGTTTTTTTGGCTTTTCTTTCATCACTGTATCCTTCATTTCAGAGAGCTCTTCACTGTTGACACCACTGGTTGTCTAATGGCTGTGGAGAGTCCAGGTTGGATATGTGGACCCTGAAAATTTGAGACAGGTCTCAGTTAATTTAGAAAGTTTATTTTGCCAAGGTTGAGGACGTGAGCCTGTGACACACCCTTGGGAGGTCCTGATGACATGTGCCCAAGGTGGTCAGAGGACAGTTTGTTTTTATACATTTTAGGGAGACATGAGACATCAATTAACATATGTCAGATGAACACTGGTTCCGTTTGGAAAGACAGGACAACTTGAAGCTGGGAGGGTGCTTCCATGTTGTGGGTAAGTAACAGACAAATGGTTGCATTCTTCTGAGTTTCTGATTAGCCTCTCCAAAGAAGGTAATCAGATAGGCATTTATCTCAGTGAGCAGAGGGATGACTTTGAATAGAATGGGAGGCAGGTTTGCTCTAAGCAGTTCCCAGTTTGACTTTTCCCTTTAGCTTAGTGATTTTGGGGGCCCAAGATATTTTCCTTTCACATTTCCTTCCTTCTATTTAAAAAATCGTTTGGAGAGAAGACTTTAGAAGAAAATGAGTCTCTGGTTCCAGGTTTTGTCTCATCTCTCATGCCTCAGCCTCCCAAGTAGCAAGGATTACAGGTATGTGCCACCACACCCAGCTAATTTTTGTGTTTTTAGTAGAGACAGGGTCTTACCATGCTGTCCATGCTGGTCTTGAACTCCCAACCCCAGGTGATTCACCTGCCTCGACCTCCCAAAGTGCTGGGATTACAGGCATGAGCCGCCACGCTGGGCCAACACACTTTCATAAGCAATGATACCAGCCATTTAGTCCCTCCTGAAAGAACTGAGGGTCCTGAGAATTTAACAAATACAGTTTTTTTTTACATAATGAAACTGAGGAAAGGCCAGGTGTGATGGCTCATGCCTGTAATTCCAGCACTTTGGAAGGCCAAGGTGGGCTGAAGCGCAAGAGTTAAGAGACCAGCCTGGGCAATATGGTGAAACCCTGACTGTACAAAATATACAAAAATTAGCTGGTCGTCGTGGTGTGTGCGTCTTAGTCCCAGTAACTGGGAAGCTGAGATGGGAGGATGGCTTGAGCCCAAGAGGCAGAGGTTGCAGCGAGCTGAGATTGCACCATGCACTCCAGCCTGGGTGACAAGAGTCAGACCCTGTCTCTGGGCTGGGTGAGGTGGCTCACACCTGTAATCCCAGCACTTTGGGAGGCCAAGGCAGACAGATCACTTGAAGCCAGGAGTTCGAGACTAGCCTTGCCAACATGGCAAAATCTTGTCTCTACTAAAAAAATAAACAAAAATTTCAAAAAATTAACCAGGCATGGTGGTATGTGCCTGTAGTCCCAGCTACTCAGGAGGCTGATGCAGGAGAATCACTTGAATCCATCAGGAGGCTGATGCAGGAGGCTGAGGTTGCAGTTAGCCTAATTGTGCCACTGCAGTCCAGCCTGGGCAACAGAGCAAGACTCCATCTAGAAGAAAAAAAAAAAAAAAAAAACTTTGAGACAGTCAGACCCTGTCTCAAAAACAAGAAAAAAATAGATGGCCTGTGGCTGCCAGCTTCATTTTCAACATTGTCTTGTCCCTTCTTACAACAAGTTATCTATTTGTTTTTGTTTTTTTTTGAGACGTAGTTTCACTCATGTTACCCAGGCTGGAGTGCAATGGCGCGATCTCGGCTCACCGCGCAACCTCCGCCTCCTGGGTTCAGGCAATTCTCCTGCCTCAGCCTCCTGAGTAGCTGGGACTGCAGGCACGCGCCACCATGCCCAGCTAATTTTTTGTATTTTTAGTAGAGACGGGGTTTCACCATGTTGACCAGGATGGTCTCGATCTCTTGACCTTGTGATCCACCCGCCTCGGCCTCCCAAAGTGCTGGGATTACAGGCTTGAGCCACCGCGCCCGGCCACAAGTTATCTATTTGTAAACCGCATTTTTTTGTTTTTTTTTTGAGACAGTGTCTTGCTGTCACCCAGGGTGGAGTGCAGTGGCACAATCTTGGCTCACTGCAACGTCCGCCTCCTGGGTTCAAGTGATTCTCATGCCTCAGCCACCTGAGTAGCTGGGATTACAGGCCTACTCCACCATGCCCAGATAATTTTTGTATTTTTAGTATAAGTGGGGTCTCGCCCTGTTGGCCAGGCCGGTCTCGAACTCCTGGCCTCAAGAGATTCACTTGCCTTGGCCTCCTAAAGTGTTGGGATTACAGGAGTGAGCCACCTCACCCAGCCAACTGCTGATTTCTTTACCGCATTGTTCTCATAAACTTTTCATAAAGCACCAATGATTTCACCATTCTTTCACCCAAACTTCATCATAAATTTGATGTTCTTGCTTCAATTTTAGCAGAATTCATATTGCTCTGTCATGGACTCTTTTCTTTTTCTTTGAAACGGAGTTTCGCTCTTGTTACCCAGGCTGGAGTGCAATGGCGCGATCTTGGCTCACCGCAACCTCCGCCTCCTGCGTTCAGGCAATTCTCGTGCCTCAGCCTCCTGAGTAGCTGAGCTCAGGTGGTCCACCCCCCTCGACCTTCCAAAGTGCTGGGATTACAGGCATGAGCCACCAGACCTGGTCTCAGCAAATAATTATTAAGATCCTACTAGGCCGGGCGCGGTGGCTCAAGCCTGTAATCCCAGCACTTTGGGAGGCCGAGGCGGGTGGATCACGAGGTCAAGAGATCCAGACCATCCTGGTCAACATGGTGAAACCCCATCTCTACTAAAAATACAAAACATTAGCTGGGCATGGTGGCGCGTGCCTGTAATCCCAGCTATTGAAGAGGTTGAGGCAGGAGAATTGCCTGAACCCAGGAGGCGGAGGCTGTGGTGAGCCGAGATCCGGCCATTGCACTCCAGCCTGGGTAACAAGAGTGAAACTCCGTCTCAAAAAAAAAAAAGAATGATATCTTAGGTCAGATGTGGTGACTCATGCCTGTAATTCCAACACTTTGGGTGGGCAAGGCGGGAGGACTGCTTGAGCTCAGGAGTTCAAGACCACCCTGGGCTACATACTGAGACCCTGTCTCTACAAAACAAAAACAACAACAAAAAAAGAATGGTACGTCTTTTATATTTATAGGACCTGAAGTCCCATTCCACATCCTACAAGCCTTTGTCCACCTCTCATTGAATCTGCTTTTCCTCAAACACAAGCATCCAAGAGACAATATAGTGTACTGAATAACTTTTTTTTTTTTTTTTTTTTTTGAGACAGAGTCTTGCTCTGTTGCCAGGCTGGAGTGCAGTGGTGCAATCTCGGCTCACTGCAACCTCCTCCTCCTGGGTTTAAGCGATTCTTCCGCCTGGCCTCTCGAGTACCTGGGACCACAGGCGCGTGGGTTTCACCATGCTGGCCAGGATGGTCTCCATCTCTTGACCTTGTGATCTGCCTGCCTTGGCCTCCCAAAGTGCTGGGATTACAGGCTTGAGCCACCGCGCCCGGCCTTGAATAATTTTTTTTTTTTTTTTTTTTTTTTTTTTTT